TATTCACACTCCTTGATATGGAAAACAAAGAGGTTAACAGAATAAATTGAAGTTTAGAAACAAAAACCTTGTCAAGCACACTTCTTTTTCTATGTTCCCCTTGATACATACCATGATGCGATCAAAATTGAGGACCAACTCTAGAGAATGAAAGAGATACAATCCAATTGAAGGAATGAATCTAAGAAGCTAGTTTGTTTGTTTGTTTGTTTTTTTATTTTGACTAAGTAACATTTTTGGATTTAAGTTTCTATGCATTTTAAAATTCATGTCATTACGTGTATTTTTGTTAGTTTACTTATTTGTAAGGCTAACCTCCTTTGGGATGGGTGCTTGTTAAGTTAGTTGTGAACAATTTATTTATCATCAAACCTTCAAATATTGTCCGAGTACTTCTCAGTACATTAGTTGCATGTAGAACACAAGTCAATAGACGCATGTAGGACACATGTCAATAGGCGGCTACATGTAAACACAGGCCATGTATCACTTGCTTGTCATTGAATGGTTCATGTAAGCCATGCCTCATTAAATTGGTATTGAGTGGCTGCATATTTACTATTTGCTACCTTATTATTTTGTAGTTTTCTATTCCTAGGTACTTCACTATGAACTTTGCTGCGTATGGGCTATAATCTTTGCTTTTGGGTAGGTTTTTTAGGAATTGGAATTTCAAATTTAGTACTTTACTGTAATCGTACTTCGCCACTTCTCAGGGCTTGGTTTTGAGCCCCATAGCTCATGGAATTCAAGCCTTGCTTGTTGGATTTTGCATAAATCAATCCTAAAAACTGATTTTTGCATGGTTAAGGCCTTGATCCAAGTATTGTTCAAGTCCTCCTTCGGTTATAATTGCTGGAACCTCCAATTTACTATATCATAAAATACCAAGAGGCTCACTTCTCGCATGTCAAAGGCAGCGAGAGCATAACAACTCCATGACACAGCTTGATGAAATTACCCACCATTATCTCTCAGGCCTAGAAATTGCGAAAATCTCTGAGAATTGGATCTTCTGTGGATGATTAAAAGCCTCCCAAATCATATCCATCTCCACAAACAAACAAAAAAACAAAAACAAAAACAAACAAACAAAGAAGAAGATATTCATGCTATCTGTCTAGTGGGGTATGTGTTCTAAGTTGTCTTTCAAATATGAAATAGCTTGCAATGGTGAATTGTAGAGAGAGCCTTATTTCTGTTGTACCCAAAAAAAAAAAAAAGAATTGTAGAGAGAGCTTCAAAGGAGCTATGACGTTCATGATTACATACGGACTAGGGATAACAGGTGTGGACTGATTCTTTATTTTATTTTTATGTGACCTCTTTCTCTGAGGTGTTTTCCTGGCCAAAAAGAGTGCATTTGTTTCATTATTCATACCCATCTAGATATGTATGGCATTAAAGATACTTCATGTGAGAGTTAAGTATGTTGAACAACTTGATGTTGTGATGTAAGAAATAATGTATAGAGAAAGAGAGAGAATAAATTGTATGTATTATTATTGATTGATATATTGATACCTATTACAATGATTCATGATTCCTATATATAGAAGAGTAGGTGGTAGTAGGTGGTAGATGGAGTAGGTAAAGTGGAGGTGGTAGTGGTGTAGTGGGTTAGGTTTAGTGGAGTAGGTGAGGTGGTAGTGGTATAGTGGGTTAGGTTTAGTGGGTGAAGTAGGTGATAGGTTTTAACATGTGATTACTCTGAATAATTAGGCAAACTTGCTGGGTAAGAATGGTACTGGTTGACATGTGTCCAGTTAATTGTCTAGTTACAACATTTGAAATATGATCAGTATGTGGTGCTTGCTATAAAAAAATTGTCTATTTGGTGAGCATTTCTGGTTTTCTATTTTTTTATTTATAAATAATACAAAAATGTTTCAGAGCAGCTAAATTAAGAGCTCTAATGGAGCTCTAGGGTGGTGGGGCCCAGCTGATGTGATGTTTTGGTCTTGTTTTTTATGTTTTTTTTCATTACCGAAGTGTATAGCTCTATCTTTAGAGCTCTATCTACCCTAAATAATAATAACCTCATAGTTGAAAGAAGTACAAATTTTACTGGGGTTTTGTATTTTTCAGTTATCTACTCATTCTGGTGTCATGTGATGTAACCATTTCGTTTTTAGTTTTCAGTTTTCAGTTTTCAATTTATATTTACAAAAATTTTAAAAACTGTCATAAAAACTTGTTTGATAATTTTTTTGTTTATAAATGGTTGTCTCAGTATATAAATTTGAGGTCATTTTTAAACAGAAATTTAAAATTTTGACTAACAACTTTTTTTTTCAAATATATTTTTTTTTCCAATTATTTTTTTTTCAAATAATTTTTTTTCTATTTTTTTTTTTTTTTCAATTATAATGTGTATGATCCCATTGTCATAAATAATAAAAAATAAATATAAATATTTTAGGCCTGAACAAACATATTTTTTAGTTTATATTTTAAAAAAATTTCAAACATTTTGTTCAAACCAAACGCGTTTATAGTTTCTGTTTTTTTGAAAATAAAAAAAAACCAATTTATAAAATTTTTATGAACATAAACAAAAAACGTAAACGCTACCAAACGTTACTGTTTGCAGCAACTTCAAAAAGGTTGTAGGGAGCATTCTGTTTACTGAGAAAGTATTAGTAGTTAGATATAAGTATTGATGGTTAGTTAAGTTCTAAGTAAATGAATATATATATCTCTCTTTATCTTAGAATAAGGCAGCACTTTACTGATGGAGATTGGTGTACATAAATGAGGGAGGAATCTGTTCGGTATATGTGGTTTTTTGAGCATCCTTCTTTGTTTTTAGGCATTCCTCACCTTTGATTTTTCTTTTCCTTTTCCTTTTCTTTTTTCTTTTTTCTTTTTTCTTTGAGTATTACAAGTAATTAATATGGTTTGCCTTAAAATTATAAACAATATGTTTTGATGAATATGTTAAATGCAATTTGAATGCCCATCTCTCAAATGTCCCAAATGCCCCAAATGCCTCTGTAGTATGGGGGTTTCTGTTTTAACATACCTTTCAGCTTACCTCTGGTGCTATTTAAGCGTACAAGAAATTGAGTAGTTGTTTTCTTTAATTATTATGATCAGCTCTTCTTTGTTGTGAACATTAAATCTCTTAATCTGAATCTTGATAATAAATCATTTCATTTTTGTTGCCAAAGGTACCGTGCAATAACAAGTGCCTACTACCGAGGAGCTGTTGGTGCATTGCTTGTATACGATGTCACCCGACACGTCACATTTGAGAATGTTGAGAGATGGTTAAATGAGCTGCGCGGTCACACAGACTCAAACATTGTGATAATGCTTGTAGGGAACAAGGCAGACCTGCGTCATTTGCGTGCTGTTTCGGTTGAGGATGCAAAGGGCTTTGCTGAGAGAGAGAACACGTTCTTTATGGAGACATCTGCACTCGAGTCTTTGAATGTTGAGAATGCCTTCACAGAAGTGCTTACCCAAATATATCGCGTTGTCAGTGAGGAAAGCACTTGACATTGGGGACGACCCTGCTGCCTTGCCCAAAGGGCAAAATATTAATGTTGGAACCAAGGACGATGTCTCGGCTGTGAAAAAAGTCGGTTGCTGCTCTGTTTAGCCACCAGAGGAAGGATTTATAAGCAATAGAAAAACCGTTGCTTGCACTAAAATGTCAAGAACTCTATTGCAGCTCATCGATTCTTTGTTTCTCTCACTTGCCACAGTTTTCAGTGGTTGGGATCGATACTGGAGCTTCTCCGAGACTGGTTCAGTTTGGAGTCCGTAAAGAAATGTGGCGTGCAGATTCTCCTTTCATCTAATGCCAGTTACTATTTATAACTTATGTTGTTTCCCCATCTGTATTGTTCCATTTGTTGATACCTTATCTGGTTTTGCATGAATTAGTCTCTTGAATTTTGCACGACTATTTAGGATTATGAATCTGTTTCTCAATTGTTCATCGTAAAAAATATTCATGACATAATTGAGTCAGTATTAGTAGTCATGGAATTGTGTCATCAACGAACCCATAGTTTAAATTCTGAGTCCACTGCAAATTGGGTCATTCTAAATTAACTACCTTTTTTTATGTCATGATTTGTCTTCATAAGAAACAAATATTATCAAAATTTGAAAATAATTTTTGGTACTTCTAGGTAGTGAATTGTTAGGTGTTTTTTTTTTCTTCTGTGAAAACAGTTCACCAAACAAGTATCATGTGTTCTTTCAAAAATAAAGCATACAACAAAAAGCAAAAGCAAAAGCAATATCAAACACGCATGTTGCCGACTTTTCTTGTAGCCCTTAAAAAGAAAACACAAAAATAATAACAAACAATACCAAACAAGCATGTTGCCGACGTTTCCTGTTGTGACATTTCAAAACCTTGGATTGTGTCTTAGAGTGGTGGGGTAGGGTGGAGGTGGAGACGGGTATTGTCAAGAGGATGAGGATTATAGAAGCTTCTCTATCACTATTTAGACCTCTCTCTAGGGCTAATGTTGTAACAACTCTACAGTATATATACACTCGATTTAGAATTCAAGCACTCAAGGAGGTCTTGTCACACTTACTTGTACTTTATATACACTCAAGGGTTTGATTAGGCGGCATTTTTTATTTTTTGTTTTGGCTTATATGCCAATGCCCTGTTCTTAGTTGCCTAATATGGCTTGGAATCTTCTCATTTTCTTGTCTTATCCCTTTAATGTTGCCACATCATAATAACTTGAATTTAATATAATATTTTTTAATTATTAAGAGACTTTTAATATTGAATTTGGTTAGTTTTGAATTTAAATTATTGCATTAGGAATACACTAAAAAAAACAAAAAGTAATTGAAGACAATTCGACGAAACCAATTTGTTGAATGAAAAAAACAAAAAACAAATATTTATTCACATTATCATATGAAAATAGTAATGCATTCTCATATTATAATAAAACACTACAGCAAAGCACAAAGAAAACTACAATTATGTCCAAAAGATGATAACTTAGAGTTATATCTTAGCTAACCTCTAAAGAACTATCCTTGCAATGTGGACAGCTTTGAACCAAACAATGCCTCAACTTCTTCAAGCTTCTCACACTACAAGCTTTCTCAAGCACCTTATTCTTAAATGCCTTGAGTTTCAAAAAGTCTTCTTTAATATCCTTCCCATCCTCCCCCATGAACTTGCAATGCAAAATGTTTATCTCCTTCACATACTTCAACCTCCCATCCAACAAAATCTCCAAAGCATTGCCACACAAAGTAGATTCCTCAAGATCAAGTTTCTCCAACCTAGGAAACCCTTCTACAATACATGTCACTTCTCTCTCCATCATCGTCCAGCCTCGAAGTCCAAGCTCGGTTATGCTCTTGCAGTAATCAGCCAACTGAGACACCACAAGAAACCCTAGATCCTTCTTGTGAATCTGTGCTCGGAAAACCCTTAAATTTTTCCAGTAGAGAATGGAGACGAAGATTGGCACTACATTCACATTAACTTTTGAAGACAAAACAACACATGAAATATTGGGAGTCCTCTCTGCTATGTAGAGAGTGGCAAAGTATCCAAACATGTGTTTGGTTGGGAAATAGATGGAGTGCCAACCATTGTAGTGGTTGATGGCTAGTTTGAGGAGGTGAGTGAATCTCAGCCGTTGGTTTTCTTCATCAAGGCAGTCGATCAAGCGGAGGTCGAGGCTGGAGTTTTGGAAGAGGGCGTGGAGGGTTGATGAGAGCCATGAATGGCAAACAAAAGGTGGGCCAAAGAGTTGGTCATGGAGATTGAGGAATGAAAATATTTTTGAGAGTATGAAAGGGTTTAGGTCTTGCCAAGATGGGTAGTGTTTCTTCTGCTTCTTCATTTGGGATTTCATAGTGATTTCTTTTGACACCACCACCTTTTGCAGCCTTAGAATGTACTGGAGTTTGGAGTTTGGAGGGCATATATTCTTGGGATTTGGCTCGAATTTTAACTAGATTGAATAGTTGGTTGATAAGATTGTCCCACATCAACATTAATGACAAATAGAACGTCTTCATCTGTCTATTGTCCTCATTATATGAACCAATAGACTGTTTCTTATAATTTAAATAAGTTGATAAAAATTATTTAATTTTAAAAGTCTGTATCAAAATATTTTGTGCTGATTTTAGTTATACCTTATTAAGTAAAAATAAGTTAAATAAATTAAAAAATTAATTATTTACTTTTACTTAAAATAAACTGTTACTTGTCAATAATATTGGGTCCGTTTGGTCCACGTCATCAACTGATGTGGAGGAGCAGAATCAATTCCTTCACATGTATTAATTATGTAAATGGCAGTTTGGTAATTTATCATGAAGACACCTTACTAAAAAGTCAAAAAATCAAAAAAGTCAAAAATCCTTCTTAAATCAGATTTTTTTTTTTTTGATTCAAAAAATCAGACTTTTTAATTTCAGGTTAAAATAACTAAAAAAATCAAAAAATTAAAAAGCCAACCTACTTTCCAAACGGAGGCTGAATCAGACCTTGAAAAGTGGTTACGATTTTTCATCACCAATTCTTGCACGGATAGCCAAGTTTTGAGTGGGGTTTGCTCACTTTTTAATTAAAAAAAAAAAAAATTATGACGAATGTGTGAATAAACTTAGGCCATTTGTTTGTCATTAATAGCAATATATTATAATTTAGGAAAAATTATATTTTGTCTTTTTTATATTTAATTATTTTTTTACTTTAATTTTTAATTTTCTTTTTTTAACTTTAGCTTTTTATGTTTAAATTTTTTTTTAATTTTCTCTAAAAACTAATTTATATTTAAAATTAAATAGAAAATGATACAGACAGAGTTATATGGTATAAAAATATTTTATTATGTATGACTCACACATCTTATACAAATTCAAACCTCAATATAACATTATATTTTTTATGTTATATTGTAATTAACGTGATATTTTTTGTTTAATTTTAAAAATAAGTTAACTTAATAATAAATTTTTAAAAAAAATTTAACATAAACGGTCAAAATAAATTAAAAAAATTTAAAATTTAAAATAAAAAATAATTAAATATAAAAAGAAGAAAGTGTAATTTACCTATAATCAAATTACTCCCGTTAAATTCCAAACATTACACAAAAGACAAATTTAAGTAAAAAGACAAAATAGAATTGTACTCTTGCAGTCATATATTCTCTCTTTATTTCTTTTTGGGAAGTGATGACGTACACCCTTTTTCTCTATTGAGAAAGCAGCCGACACAAAAAGAAAAAGAAAAAAAATATTTTTGGATCATAAATTTAATTTGGACAAATTAAAAAAAAAAAATCTTAAGTTTTAGCAAGCTTTACAATTTAAACCTTAGAATTTCAATTGCATCAATTTAAACTTTGAACTTTTACTTTTATCACAATCTCAATCGTCCGCCTATCTCTTTTAACTTGGTTGATAGAAGAAAATTAGTAGTACACATCAGACACTTTTACATTGGCTTCTTTACTAAATATTAATAATAAATTTAGGTTCTGTTTGGTTTAGATTTTAAAATATAGTTGTTAATTTTTTAGCTTTCGAAGGTTATTTTTGTAATTATGAGTGTGCCAGCAAGGATCAATCAGTCCTTATAGAATTTTGATTACCAACCAATTATCAGACGATTGTGTTGTAGTTCTTACAGCCTCAATGATGAGGACTTTTATTGGTGGCTTGATTTAAGAGAATTTAAGCACAAGAACAGTTAAATAAAGAGCAATTGAAGTATTTCATTAGTATGAAAAACTTACAATGATCCAAACTCAGCCTCGTAGAGGTTTGCAGTGACAATCTACTTGAAACTACTCCTATGAATGAAGTGTAGTGCAGGAATTTAAAGTACAGGAATGTAAAGAATAGGAAATATAAAAGCTGGAACGAAATATGTAAAGTAAGACTGGTTTCGTGGATCTGAGTCTGGGGTTTTTTCTGGGGTCTTCCCTGCTATTTATACTCCTTAAAAATGACCATCGAACTGCACTTCAAACTGTCAAACTGCTCCTTCGTGATCACTGATCATGCTGCCTTACAAGTAGTTCCACTACGCCATCACTTGCAGTTAAGCTTCCCTCCTATATTTGAATTTGAATGTGAGTAACTGCTGAAGCCACGTCACCTTGCATCTCTTTGCTGATCCAATGTTACTCGGACCACGCAATAGACAATATCAACTATCACGTGTACGATCAGGATTGAAGACTTGAACAGTCTTCCTATATTACCCTTACTCTGCCACGCGTCGAACTGTAATTGGTCTTTTACAAAATATGTAGCCAACATTACCCCCCGCATTAATATACCTAATACTTGGTGATATTAGTAGATCAAAGCCTTTCTCCCGCGCTTTTTAGAACGTACATGGGGTCTAGATTCTAGAAACACAACCGTCACTTTATTGATGATCATTTGCATTAATTTTCTTTCAATCTTTTGAATGCCCCAATACCTTAGCACTCGTACAGGCTGATACTTCTTCTATGGCCGAATCAACTTTCTTCTCTATTGATCGGGCACATGAAGAGTCATTGAATAATGCTGCTTCCCCTCGAAAGAACCTCCACGCATTCATTAGTCACCTTTATCCACCATTCTACATTCAAGTTATGGAAACCTTTGCAAATTACCAACCTTGGATTACGAACATATTGCCTTTAATCCTTCGATTCAGAAAGTTGCAGATATAGACACAAGAAGTTCTCCCTCTAACTCACCCTTACAGTTCGAACAAACTGCTCTCAAAACCTTTGATTCGGAAAGTTGCAAATATGGACTTGGGAAACTCTTCTTCACAAGCCTCTGTATGGGATAAGGCTACAATGTCTTCCTCTTCTGGGGGTTCTGACTGGACAAGCTGGTCAACACCTGAGACTTGTGATTTGAGGGAGCGAATTAACCATCATATTGTTGAGTTCACTGACCCTTTAGAGTTTCCTTCTTATGCTCAAAGTTCAGTGGTCTACCCCTACGTGCCTATCGACCATCGACGTAGTCTGGAAAAGAATCTGCTTGTAGCATGGTACACATCCTCCATGCCTACAAAGATAGTGCACGCTGCCCGACGCCTAGAAGAAGCACAAAGGTACAACCCATCATTCTTAGCCCGGAAGGCGAAGATTTGTTCTTCTGACTGGCTCGATTATATTAATGCCTTTGTTCCTTCTACTCTCGCACCATCTTCCATAATAGAAGTATCCACACCTTCTTCTCCATCTCCTGAAATTGAAGCATTCATACCTTCTCCTCTACCAACTCTTTACTGGACAGAGAGACTGAAGCTTGCCCTTTCCATGGATAACGTCTTTCCACCTTACAAACCTCTACCTTCCCCTACTCTAGCTAAGCGGAAACAAGCTCAACTTCTGCTTGCAGCTTTCTCCCACTTGCCCTTCAATGTTCTTGAGGACGAAGTCCCTCTCAAGAACCTTCGATGGGCTTGTGATATTCTGACTAGGGGCCATGTCCTTAATCCCCTTGCCCAAGCAGAACTTCATATGGTCCTGGACCAACTTCCATTGCTCCTCTACTGGCATCGAAATTCTATGGCCACTACACAATCTTTAAACCAACTTTCGTCTCTTCGAGTTCATGCCCAGAAAGAACTTCATTGAAGAATTCGGTGATTTCAAGAATAAAGATTCTGCGTATTGGGATGACTTGGACATAGACGAATTGGAACAAGGATTGAGAGAGACGGCTTTCGAAATAAAGGCTGAAGAGCTCTACTACGAAGTGAGAGCACATCAACTCATGCAGCCAATGTTAGAAGACATAGAAGATAGAATAAAGAAAGAACAAAAATTCATTAATCATTGTTGGACTAAATTTCATGATCTTGTTATTTATTCCATTCCTTATTTTTATGAGCTTGAGTTTATACCTAGATAGGGTCATCCGATGTAATTGCTTTGGCTTTAATATAAACAAAATACTTCTTCATTTGGCATTATTTGACCCTGCTTCCATTTTACGAAGTGAGAGCACATCAACTCATGCAGCCAATGTTAGAAGACATAGAAGATAGAATAAAGAAAGAACAAAAATTCATTAATCATTGTTGGACTAAATTTCATGATCTTGTTATTTATTCCATTCCTTATTTTTATGAGCTTGAGTTTATACCTAGATAGAGTCATCCGATGTAATTGCTTTGGCTTTAATATGAACAAAATACTTCTTCATTTGGCATTATTTGACCCTGCTTCCATTTGTCTTTTAAAGCCAACTCAGAGCTTCGAACTGAACAATCTCATCCTTCGAACCTGGACTCAATTGTTTTAAATGAAACACTAAAAGAACCAATTATGAACTTTTCTAATTTATGGAATAAAGTTGACAGTTTTGGCTGATTTTCAATTAGAACCAATGCTTTGGATCTAGCAATCTTATACTTAAAAAATTTGTTTCAACCATAACCAACACCTGATCATGGTTATTATGATCAATTAGTTTTAAATTGACCACCTTTTGCTTCGAACAACAGTTCATGCTATTTTAGTTCAACAGACAGCCCCCTTTTTTTTTCTTTTTTTTTCTATATAAACCAACCATTGGTTTTGATGTTTCGAAAACCAAATCCCATCCTTAAAGAATCTCAAGTTTTGTCTCGAAGGACATTACCTTCGTTAAGAAACCTAAAAACAGGTCTTTAAACTCTTTGGAGAAAAACAAACACTCGAGTATTCTTATCTTTTTATGAATGAAAATGTGCTTCGAAGCCGGCTTCTCTGTTTCGAAGCCATTGTTTTTTGGCTTTTGGCGTTAAAACTTGGCTTCGAAGCCAAATATCTTACTTCGAAGCTAGCCTCAGCATCTGGGCTGTGTTTTTCCTCCAAAAGTATCAATATTAAAGGAAGCTCTTCGTATTCGTACTTCTAGTACTTAACAACTTACGCAATATATTTTCCAGACACAAAAGCTTTAAAAACCCTTTTGTTTCGTGCTCTGAAATCACTTGCTCTTTTAACGCAAAACCCTTCTCTCTACCGATCTTCTGCTTCTCTCTACTTCCTTTCTCAGCTTCACTTTCTGGAAAAGCGTACTATCAATGGCTTCTTCTTCAGTGCCAGTCGTAGAGCGTGCGAGCCCATCTATAACCCTGAAGAGGATCATTGATGCAGAATGTGAGAAGTACAAAGCTGGGGAGAAAAGCGCTATCGATGGACGCATCTTCGTCCCTCGTCACCATGTGCAGCAAGACTACGTGCTTGGGCCTATATTCAAAGAGATCCTTACTGAACTCCCAGCCCTATATCCTCATCTGGAAAACCAATGTCTCCTTTACGAAGGTGGTCTTGACTGGAGGAACTGGAGGATAAATCGCCCTCACCGATGTTGGCCCACGGTGAGACCGGAGTGGCAAGAATGGTATGACCGAGTTGTTCCTGCTAGAACTCTGGACCTTCAAGAACTCTGCCTTCTCGATGCTCTCTGACTATCCAGGGTAACTATCTCAGAGGACCCTTTCCTTATTCCTGCTACCTTGTGTTTTTGGAATCCTATCTTTAATTTCTTTCAATTTAGATGCGGGATGATGGCCCCTACTGTTCTTGACATTTGCCATCTAAGAGGATTATCCCCCATTGGTACCCCATTTGGACCAGATTACCCTGACTTAGCAGTCTCTTTCTCTCTCTCCTCTCTTAACTCATCCTATAGTGATTTCGCTAAGGCTGAGAATAAAAGAAAGGGCCCTGTGACTGATAGAGAATTCTTTTCTTTCTTATTGTATTGGCTTTGTAAATTTCTTTTCTGCACCTCTTCTCAGAGAATCATGCCTGAATTTGCCCCTCTTGCCAAAGCCTTTGTTTTATAGAAAAAGGTGGCCTTAGCCCCACATGTTCTAGGTCACGTATATAGAGTCTGCTCCCTTTTCTGTAAGAAACCCTTAGATGCTAATCAAGGGGGGCCGTTCTGGATCCTTCAGTTTTGGCTTTTTGCCTATTTCTCTGAGTTACAATTCAAATGCCTTAAATTTTCTAAGCCAAACCCTCTTACTCATGGCATAAGGCTGGCCAATGCTTCAATTTATCCCTCTACCTTTGCTTTTTACTTCTCTTTCTTCCACCAACTTCCAGCTTCCCTTCCTTCTTACCGTTTCCGTCCCTTCGAACCCACCATTGGTCCATCTTGGTTGAAGAATTTCCTAAGTGACAGGTCCTGTGCTTCACCTATTCACAAAGAAATATGGGCCTCTATTCTGATCCCCAGAGAGTAATTTATTGGGACTTTGAACCCCAAGGCCTACAAATGCATCGCTGAGCCCTACTGTCCTACTCAATTTGCTAAACAATTTGGCTTCACACAAGGGGTCCCAATACCTCTCTGCAGTAACACAAATCTCAGTTTTACTAGAAGGGATCTGAAAGTGCGGAGGTCCAGGCTAGAAGAAGCAATTTTCAAGTTCATAGATGACTTGGTCAATTTCGAGTATACCCCTTTCATTCCTCAAGGTACCCTATTGAAGAGATACCAACACTGGTGGGTGACCAACATAGAAATCTACTTGGCCATTTCACCTCAAAACCTACTAATGGTGTTAGATGTGGCCAAGCCCAAAGGAGCTGGAATTGCCACTTCTTTTACTGTTTCTGCTGCAGTACATGCTACAACCCAATCTGCTCCTGCTGCTTCAACTCCTCCTAGAGTTACTCAGGTTGCCTTGAAGAAAGGTATATACCCTTGTCTCTTCTCCTTTTGTTTTCTTCATAATGTATTCATAATACATTTAGCCTTATCTTTAGTTCTTCTTTTGTGGAGGTGGCCAACAACAAAAGAAAATGAGACTCCTTGAGCTTGAAAAGGAAACACCCGATATTCAAGCAGAAGAATAAGAAGCAGATCAAGAGCAAGAGTCGCCCTTGAAAAGAAAGAAAAGAGTAATCATCTCTTCCTCTGATTTGGTTGGAAATGAGACAACTGCCAGAGAAACAGAAGAGGAGCTCATTTCTTCGGAATCCAGATCTCAGATTGAAGAAGTTAAGAAGAAAATTGAGAAGGAGCAGACCACGCCAATACAGAGAAAAAAGAAAAGAAAGGTGGTCTCTCCTTCTGATATGGTCGAAGACTCCGATTTCGAGACAATTGCCAAAGCAATGGAAAAGAGAAAGAAAGTGACTGCTTATGCTACCAACTTGGTTGAAGATACCATCCATGAAGCAGCTGTCAAAGCAGTAGAACAAGAACATTCTAAGGCCATGATTGTCTTCGAGAGAGCTAAGAAGAGATGGCAGCAACAATTTCTGAGAGATGAAGTTGCTGCTGCTGATGCACTACAAAGGGAAACTGCAAGAAGGCAACAAACTGCCAGACATTACTCCCTTCGTAGTTCTCCCATCATTGCCGACACTTCTGCAGCGGGTAATTTCTTTCATACTTCTGCTGTTTTTCCCTTGTCAGCCTTTGATATTGAAGTTTAGCATTGCTTTACATTTCTTCTTCTTACAGCAGCAACTACTGAGTTCATCTTTCCAATGAGGCCTCCCTCAGTTTCACTTGAGGTTGATCAGATGTAGGATGTGAGGGCTATTCAGATCATACTTTCACTTCCAAGGTCTACCCTTCCTGCACTTT